GCTCGCAGTTGTTTTTGGAGGAGAAATAGATTATGCCGACCACGTGACCAAACTGTCTCCTCAACCTTCTCAAGAGTTAGAAGAGGCATTGATGTGCGACTAAAAAGAATGATTGTAAAGCTCCAGCAACGTGCTTTGCTTAATTTATGTATTCAATTTTATGCGTTCAATGTATCGATGGGAACAGACAATAAGTATGTGCTGACCAGACAAAAGAAAAGTAATAGTTTAAATCTCGGCTTCCCGAATTTGTTATTTGAAACACTAATCCGTAATCCATGTTCGCTCGCATTCATGTTGCTCACGTGTGCATACTAAAGTGGTCTTTGTTAAAAATTTTCGCTCTTACGACAAGTGCGACACATCACAGTTCACTGTATTTCTGTTGGCTTCCTGTATTCCGCTGACAGTCCTTGGACTCTAATATGAAGGCTGTCGCAGAGGCATAAATCCGGTGCCCAGAGTTCTTTGCTGAAACCCACGTTGTAGAGCAAGCGTCCTGGATGATCTTACAGCGTCGTGAAGTCGGGTATGTAATATACTTTGTTTTATTCTACGACTGAAGAACGAACAGAATTTACAAATAGGGGCATCGATATTCGTTGTTTTTCTTTGCTACGCGTCGGTGTTAACCCAGTTTCGACCACGACACCTCTAAACGTTTCAGAAAATCTCACCCTTTCTTGAAACCTTATATTGAACCTTGGCGATTCAGAATAGCAAATAGCAGGGCAGACCCCGGAACGCTAGGCGGAGCAGATAAGAGAACGAGCTCTAGAAAAAAAAAAAAATCTGGTAATTTTCAAAGCTGACAGTTGAGGAAGACTTGTTGTTAGGCTAGTTGGTTCGTGGTATTGAGTAGACTTGAACGCGCAAACGCAGAGGACGAGCACGAAAGAGCGCTTGTCTTTGTCCACTCCTTCGTGTTCGTCCTCGGTGTTTGCGCATACAAGCCTACTCACTACCCGACAGTTCAGCGAATGCCACACGCTTGCTGGATCAATCAACCGCTGGCGTTGCAATACACATGCGCGTCCGTTGCCGACAGGTAAGCATAAAAGAGAGCAGTCACGTGCTCCAAAGCTGGTGCGCGCTACTGATCTGTAGGGTATGACCCTCCGCTCCAGCAACAGACAAAAGAAAAGCTGAATTCTGCGTCGACTCCGTGTACCTGGCGTATGACCGAGACAGACTTTGTTTTGGAGAAGGTTTGAAAATGAAGTGCTCTTAGGATGCCAGGTTAACATTTTAAAGTGATAGCCTCAACGGCGACACTTTGTAGAGATGTCGAGCTGGTGGGCGTTTGTCGCCGCTATGGGAGAAAACCTTTCTTTCCTCCCCTTTTGGTGCTGGGAGAGGGAAGGAGGAATTCTTCACTCCTCTCTTTGGTGTGAGGAGGGGGAAGGCGGATATTTTCGTCGGCCGCGAAGCTCGAAGGGAGAAGAGAGGGGAGCCCCGGTGTCCCGCTACTAAAGACGCCCCGAAGGGAGAATCTTCCTCTCACCTGCTTCAAACAAACAGTTGTTTCCAAACATTCCTCGCGTTATTCGAAATCCCACTTTGGTAGTATCCAGTTGCTACGCGTAATGTTGAACAGATCACGGTCGTCAGTGGCATCCGCAACGCCAGCCACGACGGCTACGAGAATTAACCACGTCGCAGCTCCGTCTTCAAGACGTGATGGCAGCATTTCACCCGCATTGCGCGACCCTGCTACAGCTATCACTTTCATTTCTTCGCATATTGTTGGGAAAAAATACGAGTTTTTATTTTTACGAGAAGAATTATCAACTCGCAGTGTCATTCATGTCTGCAACGGGAACTCCTTTCACAGCTCTTATGCCTTTTATGTTGCATTAATTAGCAGTATAAAGACTGAATATATTACTACAGCACAGATATGTGTTTATGTTCGCTCCTACTCAAAGCACACTTGGAGAGTTAAACCGCTTCTATAAAATATCTAATTTTGTTTATGACAGTCATCACCGAACATCTCATATATTTTGTTGACTTGTAACGTTATAGCTATCGGAGCATTGTACATTGAATGTTGCATTTTATGATAACTTGCACTCGCGCCTCTGTCGGCTGAGGGAAATCAAATAACTAGATACTGTCATATTTCGGTAATTAATTCCCTTACAAAAAAATGTACTTACACCCAGCGACGCTCTATTGTAATATCTGACTAGAACGACCACAGGGTTTGACTAGCATCGGCCTATGATGCTAACATCCTAACATCGGCCCAGGAGTCCCCTATAAAAAATTGGCCTAGAAACGTCCTAGGTCTACAGACATTGTATAGTCTGCTATGGACATCCTAGATACGAGCGTCATACTAAACTTAAGATTTTTCTACCATTGTCAATTGCCAAACGAAACATGTCTGCCAGCAGACATTGCATCCCCTAAAATTCCTGTGGGACTGAAACGTGCAAACGTACTATATAAATAAAATTGAAATGCTTTTTTTTTCTGCCGCATGACATCATGATGTTGAATATTTCGCATCATTTTGTGCGTATCTTTTTCTTTCTTCAGGTATTTGTTGGAAATAATTAGAGTGGAATATGCAATCTCGGGGCCCTGGTAAGGTATGGAAAATAAAAAAAAATTAAAATAGTCACTCAATCTGCTGACGCCATGATTCACAAGACTGAATCTTAAGAAAAGAAAACGGATGTAACGACTAAAATCTTTGACTTGAATGCGGTTAAGATAGCCTTCTGCCATTTTTTTCAATGCGAAAGCATTCACTGTCTCATGGAGCGAGCTGACGTCATCCGTTTGAAGCGCGAAAACGACACCTAGTTTCCTTCGGTTCTATTGGCTGTCGCGCGTCGACGGGGCTCCCCTCCCATTGGCCGCTGCTCTCGTCAGTTTCCGCGACCGCTCACCCCATGGCGCTGCGTGTCCATCAGCGCGGCGTTAACACGGAGCGTCCAAGGTCACCATGCCCAGGGGAGCACACGCGCTGACCGGCAACAAAAAAGTACGCAGCAGACGAAAAAGGGAGCGGACGAGTGGCTTGCATGCTCTCGGATTCACAGCCCATAAGGAATGCTTAGGTGTACCTAAATCTTTCTTTCTTTTTTTTCCTTTAACTTTGTAATTGTCGCGTTATGAGATGGTCAGGCGGACGCAACACTTTACAAGGCTTCCTTCAATTCCACTTGACTTCTCCGGAAAATCCCAGGAGACCTCGCAACTATCCCAGATTGCACTTTCACGGCAAAGGGAATTGTGGGGCTTTCCGGATGTATACGTGCGAAGCCGACTAGGGCGATGATTCGTTTGAGCCTTTGTGAGCTCAAAACACACACACACACACACACACACACACACAAATAACTTAATCACATGTTTTGTTTTGCTTTCCTTCCGCCTTCATGGCCTCCTGATTCACAAAATGTTCAACTTCGTATCCCATTCTGGTGTGATCATTCACGTGTCATGCATCAAATTATCATATTCAAGCAGGCGGCGTGGACGACACATCGTTTCGGAATTGTGTATTGGAATTTCTTAATCTTTACCACGTGTCGCCTACCTCATTACAGATAACTGACTCAGAAAGCAAAGCACTGTCGTATCTGTCAAGGCAGTTCAGTGAATGACAAGGTCTCAAGGACATCTCGACCCTAAAAATGCACGCGCTTCGAGACTCAAACCGTAAAACGACATGCGCGCGACATAAGATGTAGTGCGCACTTTCTTGACGAAACGTTGGGTGGAATTACACATTTACTAGCCTTTATGTTAAGTCATACTATATCATATTGATACCTTAAGGAACCTCTAAGTACGACCGCAGTCAGAAAGAACAAGGCAGGAAGTATTCAGGTTCTCGAGAGCATTTCTATCAATCGTGTTTCTACACGGGGCATTCACGCGGCTCCATATTTAATGGCGGCTTTCACAGCGCAGGTTCAGAACAGGCCCCCCACTTTCCCCGGATCTTATCTTATAAGAACTACTACATCGGTGGTGTAAAATGCAGATTGCGGAAGTGCTGTGGATGCTCATCCTAGGCTCACGTTCAGTAGCTATGGACTTGACCATGGCCGCCAGTGATAGGGTGTCCCCCCCCCCCCCCCCCCCCCCCCAAAAGAAAAAAAAAATTTACAGCTTTGTTATTTTTAACCGTAAAATTAAGCTACGCATCAATGAACGCTCATTGTTCACTAGGTAGCGCTAGGAATCCGAACCAGATTCCGAAGTTTCAGCACGAACCGCTATTTTATTCAGAAGTAATAAGTGACTTTCTGAAAATTTCAACAGGAAAATAGGGCCCAATTTTACCCGTTTTCGGTTTCTGGCGCCCCATAGAGCTCCATGTATTCGAGAACCCAGTCGGCCACCATTTTCTTACAAAAATGTTCAGAAAATCATTTTAAACTTTTGAATAAAATGTCGGTTCGTGCTTTGGGCGAAGCATGAGCGTACGACGATGCGTAGATTATTTTTGGGACGAAAAAAACCCTATACACTTTTTTTTTCGGGGACATGCTGCATTTAGTATTGACAGCCACGAGCCCTTTTTATATTAAGTTACTTTATACTAGATATATAGTACTTTTACTCGCTTATGTATACAGTAGGCAGGTTAAACACATTTCTTTACCTTATCGCTCTGGCGAAAAATGCCGAGTAATTGGGCTCTAGACACAGGCACGGCGTCAATAATTCACAGAAAAGTATTAAGGTGAATTCACACTGACGTACCAATCACAACCGCGAAATTGATTCGTTCGTTTTCATCACGAAATGCGCGTAAAAGTATACTGTACCTTTAAGCAAACCGGGTTCGCAACCGCTTTGCGAACGCGGTTCAACCGCCAGTGTGATTACGGCGTTAGTGCGCATACTGAGAACTCGCTCCCCAGACCAGTAGCCAAAAACATAGCCCATAAGGCGACTTTCGGGAGGGTCTATTAACAGCAGAATGTGAAATTTATTAAATGCAGCTAGAATTAACATACAGAACAACGTACCTAAAAGCAGGCTAGCCACGTTGGCGGCAGCCAGACCGCAAGCGCACAACATGGAGGCGTAAAGCGGCGTCACCCGAGCGGGATCTCGGGTCAAGCCCTTGGCCAGGGCAAGGCAGCAGGCCGTGAGCGCCACCACGGTAGACTGGCACTAGGACGAGGAATCTCAGATCACGGTCACCCAGAGTCCAAGATCTCATCCAAAGCCATATATGGTTCTGACCTCACCTGAAGCAGCGCAATGTTGGCAACCGCCTGGCGCAACTGGTCTCGGAAAGCGTCCAGTTGACCGAGGTTGACCTGCACGAAAGGATGAAGCAAGACCGTCAGAAGCCTCCACGGATGTACGGCGCGCCTCTCCCGACTAACTTGGCCCGCTCGGCGTGCGGCCATTTTACGCTCGCTCTTGAGGATCTGCGAGGAAAAGCAGCGGGTGACGCCCGCGGTCGAAGGTCCGCACGGCTACCTGAGTGCTGAGCCGTGCCACCAGCGTCATCTCCAGGTTCCCGTTGAGGCCCAGCAAGGGTGGGATGAGCACAAAGAGCTCCCGGTAGGTCGAGTACACGGGCCAGTCCTTGACGCGGTCCAGGAGCAGGCTGGCGGCCACGGAGCCCATTCCGGCCAGCAGGAAGGGCACGAACACCTGGGCGCAGGTCGAGCAGCACGGCTCACCGGGCAAGTCGGTCTCCCGCCTGGCCAGGATCTCCCTGCTGCCGCCGTGGCAGTCTCCGGCGGCCGGTTCCCCGGCCTGCGGCTCCGGGACCGGGCTCTTAGCCGCAGGATCCTTGTTACACCCGTCGCGAGACTCGATCCTGTGGTGGGAAATGCTGCCGTCAGCGCCGCCACCAGACTGAGGGTTCGGGCTCACCGCAGCACTGCACTCTTGTCCTCGCTGACGCGCGGCTCCTGGCCAGCTCCGCCTCTGTGGTCTCCGCAGTCGGCCGTCATGGCGCCTCGTTGTCGGCGGCCTCCGATGGAAATCGTGCGACGCCAGCTCGGTCTGCGGTCTCCGACTCTGGATGCCAAGCTGACTTGGGCCCAAGGGGCGCGCGCTGAACAGCGCCTTCCGGCAGCAGCCCGCGGGCTCGGACCTCTTCTTCTTCGACGAGGCTAGGCACCGGTGCCGCCGGGGCTGGACCCTCTGCGATCCAGGGCCCGGGCGGAGGAGAGCTGTGTGCTGCCGTAGCGGTGCCTGAGGACGGGCGACTTCTAGACGGACTCACGAGTCGTCGGAACTTCACGCAAGGACCCGCGATAAGCGGCGTCGTGAGCGGTACTGTCGCACCGACAACACGCGCCCGAGATAAGCGCCAAGGTCCACGCTGGACCCGCGCCGCTACCCGAGGTTCTTGCGTCACTCAATGGCGGTGTCTGCTGCGTGGACGCCTCGCCCTGCAACGACAATGATGACGCCGCGTTGAGGTGAAGCCACGCGAGGCGGCTCCGGGAACCGCGCTGCGACGCGCTGGCCTTAACTTAATCTGACGATCCGCGTAAGCAAGGCAAACACGGCGGCACAAACAGTCATTTCTTTTTCTTTTTGCCAACCTTTGCTTGACTGTTTTCAGAAAGCGCGTGTAACACCATTTTGTCGTTTTTCTTTTGTGGCGTCGCGTGGGGACCGGTTTTTACGGATTGTTCACACGAGGGAGAAATCCCGGGGATTTCTCCCCGGCGCGCCCGCATCATGAGACAAAAACGTGAGGCTTTTGCACATCGCAAAGCCTGACGTTTTTGTCGCGGGATACGCGTGCCGTGGAGAAATCCCCGGGATTTTTCTCTCGTGTGAATACCTACCTCCGGCACCAAAGAATGCTGGTTGAGAGTAGAGATTGTCGGTGCTTCGTTTGGCTAGACCAACTTTCATGGGACGCTGTTGGCCCACATAATATAAACACATGTTTCGAACCGTGCAGTCTCCAGCAGTAATTGTTAGGGCGTTGTGTGCATGTTTATACAGCAGGAAGTTGGTCAGCCCCAATGGTCGACTGGCGTCTCAGCTGTTAGTGCGTCGGGTGTCTCATGAATATGTCTCTCTCTTTAAAGCCTGTCGGGGTGACATTAAAATGACCCCGAAATAAATTTTGGGCGGAGATAAACGGGGATAAAATGCATCCGTGGTGCCCCAGCGCGTCAGCTGAACGCAGTTCAAGCATCGGAGCATTTGACGCACGTGTTGCGTCACTCAGACGTTTGTGCTCGTCAACAGTGAACCCGTGTAAGAATATTTGGATGCTCGTTCGTGTCCATTGCGTGCCGTGGCAGCACTTATCATCACTTTTGAATGACAAGTTTCACGGTATGCTGCAAAAAGCATGCAAGGTGGAAGCTTGGAGTCATCGCGTCCGGTGCCCCAGCACGTGTTTTCTCTTTTGAGTTAAGGATTGACACTAAAACGTTAAAACATAACAATTCGTTTTAAAGTGTCGATGAAGACGATTTGCAAGTTCAGTTAAACAGTTTAAATAGATGTCAGGTGTTTTCCGGTAATGCTGACGATGTTTTGTTCCGAAGTTGCGCTTGCGCGCCGCACATATGAATTAAAGGGGGAGGCCCCACGGCGGCCATGAAAAGTGACGATATTAGCTGGTGTTTGAATCGCCCTTTAACGATTGCTTGCTTCCTGAAAATATTTATTATATACGACTTTATAGAAGCGTAATTTGTCTTCGTTTTGATATAAAGTAAATTGGAATAAATTAGAACTTAAGCTCGGTTGGAACAGGTGGAATGTCATATTTTCGGCCGTACATGGTTTACTTATACAAATAAGCAGAGTTTAGGGCGAGATAGATAAGTTTCAAATTTTTAGGATATGTAGATAAAGAGTATGCCTTGCATTTTGAGGCCCTTTTTTTCATTTTCCTTTTAGCTTCTTAGCTACATACCTTTCAAGATAAGCTTCATAGGGGGAAATTCACGATCAATTTCCACGACAACAGCTGGGTTTTTACGCCTGGAAGTTGTACCAGTTAATGATGGACATAGGTTTTATATATGTGCCGAAATTCATGAAGGGTATTACTCCAGGATTGTTGTAATACTTGCATGAATACAAAAGAATAGCGAACATTGGCATAGGCCGTTTCGCAGTAGAAATGCACCGACGTTAGGTGTCAACACAGTGTATTCGAACTTCTGGCAGACAAGGTTCAAGATATGCTCGTTTTCCTATCGTGGCCCTTTTTTTAAACTTTTCGCGTTTAAAATTTCTGATAAAATGTTTAAAAAAGCAGCCAAATTGCGTCCTCTTTAGTCACAAAAATAGGTAATTTTAACATGCATTTTACCATTTGACAGAAAATGCTGCTTCAAACAACAGAGATTACTACTGCATATAAAATTAGCACCTTGCGTAAATATATAAATAAAACAGCGCAAACGAACACAAGTACAAGTAGAAGGGACGCAGACACAGCGCTGCCCCACGACTTACTTTCTTTTTCATCTTCTTAAAACACAACAAAGACAAAGAAATAAAAAGAGAAGAAGAATTCAGCACGTAGGACAACTTCACTCTCATGTGCCATCCGAAGAATTTTTAACAAAGTATACCATTACAAATAACAAATGAAAAAAGAAAAGTAAATAGTAGAGAAATATACAACTATACATTATTCCACCTAAGGTCTGAGCAAAGCCAAAACTTCAGATTCCAGTAAAAGTTGCCCAATTTTGTTAAAATCAACCATAAACATAATAGTAGGCTCTTTAGAAGTTTCCATGACAGCGTGTGCCATTTGTTGAGTTGTGACCAAAATTGATCTACATGTTCAGGAAAAATTCTAGGGTGCCGCTGATTATGTCACTAATATAATAGAGGTATTATAATATACGTTAGAGGTTCAACTGGCGCTAACGTGCGATCTGAAATTGAAGCAGACAGAAACCAGTCTGAAATTGGCTTCCGGTAACGCATTTATTTATGGAAATAGTGAGTGAAATTTCTCTCTGCTCTTGATCATAAGACCACATATCACGAATATTTAGTCCGTACTAGATAGCTTGGATCATATCTCAGTCACGCCGATAAAAATATCGATCAGTTACTGCGTTTTTATTTCACATTCACGTGCATGAAAACGGTGGTAATATGGTTTCGTCAGACTTGTACGTAACTTAAATACTCTACTCCAAGTTACTGTACCTTAAATACTTTTGTGAGTAATTTGGTATGTTGCAAATACTTTCGAACGTCAGTATTTAGTACTCTAAGTTAAATACTTTTTTCAACTAACTTGTACTCATTTGAAAGTTACTTTTAAGTTACTTTCTATTTTTTTTTTTATTTCTTTAAAGGCGGGAAGCTTGGAAAATATTGAACTCCAATTATTTTGGCGCCTGCCATTGCAGATACATTTCGTGCCAGGTAATACAGTGCACCTTCGTGCTTCTGTTGGAAGAGGTGACACGGAGAAGCAGGTGTCGCAGCCTCAAGCTGAGCGGACGCGTGTCGTTTCTTCTAACTGGGCAAAACGTCAAAGCACATTTTTTTACAATTTGTTAGTGGTCAAGCGCAAAAGCAACAGAGATTCCGAAGCAGAAGGGTATGCGGGTGAAAGCATAATATGTGTACAAGGCTACAAGCCAGAGGGAGGGCACTTGTGTCGGAGAGAGGGTGGGTTCTACAAGTTTCTGGTAAGAGTCGACAGTAAACCGGAGTTTATCTTTCTATGTTATGGAGTGAAAGCATATAAAAGAAAGCCTTCCAGCTTCAGAAATGCCTTTGCATCCGCACGCAGTTGCACACACCGCTCGTTCGTTTCACTAGGCTCTCTTCGCACACAAGACTCGTAAGACGCGACTACATGGCTCCGATCCAGCGGCCCATCGCTCGCGGCGTACGCAGCATTGTCTTCGGTAGCACGAATGACCGCCGGCGCCCACCACAACAGTGTTGTCAGATGGCTGAACCAGAAAGTCCCCACGTCCGCGCCAAAAAGTCCCTGTTTGACCCTACCAGCGTGTGCAAATGTCCCTACGGTTGTCTCCAGAGGGGAAAAATAGTTTTATTTTATTTATTATGATTATTTGAGTGAGCCTGCCTTCTGTACCTCTCCGCGAGCGCGTTACAACTGATTAATTAGCTATTTCCTGTTTTACAAACACGAGATTGAATATATGAAAGGAAAAATACAAGTTAATCCAGGTATTCAGTATAACAAATTAAGAACTTTTGTGTTTATTGCATAGCATACAACAGTCACTAAAACTTAAAGAGCACTTTTTAATAACACCCTGGTTATTAGGACCTTACGTTAACGAACATTTGCAACAATCGCCTGCGCGCTGCCATCTTTGTATGCTGTGCTGTGGAGCGCCTTCTGAGCATGCGCTATTGCTCTGCTCTGCGGTATGAAAGACGCTGCGCATGCGTCCACAGCTCAGTGACTCTGCATTTTTCACCCTGGCGATAAGCGATGGAAAGATCTATAGACCCATTTTTTTCAGGGACTGTCCGCTCCACAATTGGTAGGTTGGCGCAATCTGATGGCACAGGTATTCTCCAAGCTGAGCTCAATAGCACATCCCACGAGGCATAATCAAGACGATAGGTTCGAACGAAGACGATAATCATGACGATAGGTGACCTCGCGAGCCGAGCGCCGCGTCTCCAATAAACGCTTCCACTGAGGCAAACATTTGGATTACCGTAACTCGAGCGAGCGTAGCAAGTGCAACTCGATGCTCCGGGGCCAGGACTCCCGTTCGGGCTCAAGTGCACCTACAATAAGCAACCCCCCCCCCCCCCCCCCCCCCACAAAAAAAAAAAAAGGAAAGCCGTCTCTATTAGAGTGCCTACATACACACGCGCACTCTTGCTTGAGTGGTGACATCTCAGCCATTTTTCCGCCCAGTCGTTTCTTTATGCATCTTTAAGTGCGCGCAATCCGGTGACACTCAGCTCGAGCGCTTAGCTTTGGCAAATGCATAGACGCCATTTTACCGCCCAAGTCACGCACCGAGTGCGCGAGAGCGTCACGCACTGGCATATTCAGGGCAACAAGGGATGTCTCCACCCTGAGACAGACAGACATGTAGGCACCCTAGTCTCTATGTTTCTACAGCGTAAAAAAAAACGCGATTTTTTTCTGACTTTGGTTGTGCTTGACAGTGAATTGCAGAGAAAATTGTAACTTGAGAGTATCTTGAAAGTAAAGAGTTACTTTTTGGGAGTATTTTGTACTTTACTCAATTTACAAATTTGAGTATTTAGTACTCTACTCAGTTACTGTTTTTCGTGGTACTCAATAACTTAACTTAAATACTTTTAGCGAGTATCTTGTGCAAGCCTGGCGTACATGCATTTATTTACTGTCCGACACTGTTTGTGCGAACAGGGCAACGGCGCTTTTCTGCAAGGGGGGGTGGGGGGGGGGGGGGGGGGGCGCTCG